AATATTAAAGATATGTATACCAATTGAAAATATATTTACATAAATAAGTTGGTCAAATGACTCTTCAATTTATATTGGTTGATTTAATCCTGACATGACTCATGACATTTCAATTATCCCATAGAATTTTAGAAATTTCAGAAATACTAGCACTTTAAGGTCAACTTAAATTTTTGAGAGATTTATTTATAAATCTCGTTTAGAGGACTTGTAGCCCAATAAGTCCACAAAGTATTCTTGTGTTCCACCCAATCCCATACATTTTTGAACATATATTTCAATAGGTCATTTTTCTCATATTAAAAGTATTATATGGACTATTTTACCTTTATAAACTTTTATTATAATATATTATACCACATATTTAGGAGATGGAAAATTATTATTAAATATATTTCATTTATGATATATATATATATATAATGTTGTATATAAATATAGAAGATTATTCCAAAGATCTCAAATATAGAAGATTATTATTCTTAGTATTTTTTTGCCTCAATATGAGAGATTCACTTGATCAAAAATCTTCCTTTACCATTATTTTACAATAAGGTACTGCCATTAAAGAACATTTGGAAGAGAATGTTAGTTATATATGTAAACCAATGATAGAAATGATAATGGACTCGCAACAGAGATGAACAATCATTTTTTATGCTATTGTTATATATAAACGTAGTCTCTTTGTCAGTTTGTGTAGTCACCAATATTGTGTAGTTTATTGCCAGTATTATGCCAGAATTGATTATATACAGATTTTTCTAAAAAGATGCGTAAATATATATGAACTATTTAATAATTTTTTTTATATATTGTTTTATGATTAATTGTGTATTGATTGTTTTTATGATTTTTAGTAGAGCAATCATTTTTATTTCCATTGAACAATCGAAATAGATAATTTTCATTTTTTTTAATATTTTGTTTCGTATTTTCACATTGCAGTGTGAATGTTCATATTAATATGAGATTTTTTTTTAAGGCTAATTGTATGTTAATTGTAAACTGTGAACATTCATATTATATTTTGGTATGAATTTTGTTTTTTCGAAGGTTAGTTGTATGTTTATTGTTTTTGTTATTATACTTGTTGGTTGAACAATCATTTTTTTTACCATTGAACAATCAAAATAATCGATTTTCACTTTTTTCAATTTTATTTTATGTTTTTACGTTGCAGAGTAAATATTCACATTGGTATGAGTGTAATTTTTTAAGGGTAGTTGTATATTATTTGTAAACTATGAATATTCACATTGTATTTTGATATTAGTTTTATTTTTTTAAAGTTAGTTGTATATTTGTTATTTATTGTGAACATTCACATTTTATTTTGGTATGTGTTTTGTTTTTTCAAAGGTTGGTTGTATATTAATAGTCATACTAGCACAAACATAGTGTGTACATAGAGATGTGAATGTTCACATTAATTCTATAATACAAATAGATAGTTGCATACAATGTTAATGTTCACACACTCATGTAACATTAAGTGTGCATATGGTTTCATGAGGAGATGTTATTTATCAACATGCATTTGTAATGTGAAAGTTTACATCAACATTTGGTGAGAGATTTTCAAAATGTAGATAATTTAGGATTTTGAGAATGTGAGAGATTTTTTTCTGTGAAATAACGAAGAAATTTTTTCCTCTTGAATGAGGAGATTTGGTGACAGCCCAAAATATATTTATTTAATCTATGAAAACAAAATGTAATTACAACAGTTTTTTGGGCCATAGTAGAACATAAGAAACTTGTGCAAATAGTTTTACAGAAACCTCATGTTTGGCGTGGTGAGCCATGTGGTGAAACCATGTGGTGAAACCATATGGTGTGCTACACAGTGCTGCATAGTAAGGATTTTCTCACCTATAAATAGGTGAGTTGTATGGCAATGAAATCATAAGAACAACAAACGAGTGGTATACGAGAGAGTGAGCCGAAGTCAGAAATGAGAGTAAAGGATCAAGTTTGAGGTGAGTTGTATTATATTTTGAGCTACCATAAACTGTTTTTATGTAAATTATGTTTTGGAAATCATATTAGTTTTTAAAAGTATATTATTTGTTAAATGAACCCTATTTGCTTAAAAAGGGAACCCATGGATAAAACTGTTTATTAAATTGCTTAAAAAGGGAAACCCATGGATAAAACTGTTTATTAAATGTGTTTTTGAACAATTATTTTGTAAGTACCACCATGGTGGTCCCATGCCTTGGGGAAGTTAAATAATCATTGGCTCTTTGTATTGTCGCTTTATGTGACCCTCTGTTTGTCATGAATCCACTGACCATCTGTTCTCTGGTATGGAGCAAAGTCATGTACGGAGCTAAGTGTTACACTATTGTGAGAGCCACCTCTAGAATTCGTACAAGCCACCTCTTGAGTCCATACATCTGTTCTGTTCTGTTCTGTTCTCTGGTATGGAGCAAAGTGTTGTGTGGAGCTAAGTGCTACACTATTGTAGGAGCCACCTCTAGAATTCGTACGAGCCACCTCTTGAGTCCATACATCTGTTCTAATCTATTCTGTATTGTGGTTATGATTATTTACTTATATGATTTCTACATTATGCTTATGTTATTTAAAGTGATTTATGTATTTTTGTCATCGAACAAATCTCTGTTTAGCCCAAACAATTATCCATGGTGATTTTTATACCCTTTATGCTCTCAGTATAATATTTCTCACTTTGCCATGTATTTATAGTTGTTAACCACTTTAAAGTGACGTATTAGGACCAGTGCGTGTGGTAGGCACAAGGCACTTTGTAGTCATAGTTCAACTCTGGCAATGTAAATGCATAGAAACTCCAATGTATATGTTATAATTAAGATTTGGGTATCCTTTTATTTTACTCCTCTGCACTATTAATTTGTAATGACTTCAGTTATTATCTTGTTGCGACGCCGAATCTCCGCTTATAGATTTTCTCCAGAATGATTAGAGATTTTCTCCATGGAATAAGGGAAAGATTTTTTCATGAAATAAGGAAGTTGTTATTTTTGTTATGTATTAATTTCCAAATAGAAACAGTTGTAGAAAATTGGAAGGGTGATTTGGTCATACTACACCAAATAGGACCTAATGGAATACTAAAAAAAAATATATAGGTTAGATGAAACATAAATCTTAAGAATGAGATTTACTAAAAAAGCTCCCTAAATTTATCTTACCATATCAATTAATTATTTTTCTAAACCACAACATGACACACAGTAACTTGAATAATATTTATAATATTTCTAATATAGTTTTTGAAATGAATATAAAATTTAAGTTTTTCACTTCATTTCTTTTTTTAGGTCACATTGCATTAACCCCTAAAATCCGAACCTTCACAACAAGTTCTTTCTACAACTAATCTACCACAACAATCAAAACTACATATAAAAATTTAAAGTTTTTTCAATAAAATATAAAAGAAAATTAAGAAAAATAGAGAACAGATAGAATAGAAAGCTAGAGCTACCAAAAAAAAAAAAAAACTAGTATTGCTATGTCATATAACAAACTTTGATATGACAAATTATAATTATAAAAATTTCAGAATATAATTACGCTCAACAGAAAGCAGTTTTTGTAATTTACGCAAATTTATTTGCTTTTAATTTTACCTATTGAATTATGATACATGTATTTTATTATAGAACAAAATATTAATAGACGGCTTAAATAATTACTGAAATTTACTTAATCTTATTCATTTATTTTTTAAAAAAATTTCGTGTAATTAATATCCATTCCCGGAGGCTTGACAATGAATTTGGGCTGAAACTAAAGATTGCCATGAGTTAGTTCTCTTTATATATATATATACATATGCTCTGGTTATTATCTCAACTAGGGTTATATATATATATATATATATATATATATATATTTGTTCATATGAGTTTTATTATATTCAATTTGACTACATCAGTTGACAAATTCAGATTCAAGCATAAATTTGAGTAAGAGTATTTTCATTCTTCAATCTCTTTTTCTGTATGTGTTTGTTGAAGATTGCTTGAAATTTTTCTATGAAAAGACCCAATTTTCTTTGGTTTGGTTAAAACATATAGAAAGTTATGAGTAAACCAGAGAAAATTGGTCAAAATATAGAAGACAATGGGAGCAAATGATAGAGAAATTTGTGAGCAAATCAGAGAAAATTCAACTAAGAGAAATTTCAAAATACAGAGAAAATTTCAAAACACATAAAATCAGAAAAATTGAGCAAACCAAAGAAATTTTGATTCAAAGAAATTTCAAAATACAGGAAAATTTTGATCCAGAGAAATTTCAAAACACAAAGAAATTTGAGAGACATTATTTGATCCAGAGAAATTTTGATCCACAGAAATTTCAAAACACAGAAATTTCAGAGAAATTTTGAATTTCTCTGTGTTTTGAAATTTCTCAAGATTGAAATTTTTCTGAAAAAATGTTGAGGGATACATTATGAAAATATCGCATGTTCTTTATCCTATAAAATCTTAATACTAGGGAAATTAAAAAAAAATTCCCCTTCTTTGTCAGAGATATTTGATTAAAAATTTCATAAATCTTTTGAGCTCTTTAACATTACTCTGTATTATATGTACTTTTAGTTACGATCTTTATGTTCTTTGGTTATTCCTTCTCTTTAGAAAAGAAATAAATAGATAAACAATTCAAACAAAGGTGCACAACAAGATAACTGTGTTTACATGATGCACTTATGAAAAAAACTTATAAAGGAAAAGAAAAAAGTATAGGAAAATATTAAGTAGAGAAGTTAAATAAGGAAAATATTAAGTAGAGAATTTAAATTTATTCCCTTGATTCCTCTATTATTCTTCTTCGGCATAGTAAATTAATATTCATAATCCCCAGTTGGACTTTCTTGATTTTGAGCATAGGAGAAAACAAAAGGGTATCTATTGTGACATCTTTGTCCCATACAAGAAATGAAGAAAAAGATCCTTTGGTGTCCTATCTGTTTCTCCGTCTACTTTCTTTATAAATTTTCTATCCAAACACCCAAAAAATCCCACTTTCATTTGAAGGATTTGCTTTAGTGAAAGACATGGCAAGGGAATTCAAAACACAAGTGAAGGTTCAGGTTGGAGTGGAGGAATTCTGGAAAGCTCTGGCAAAGGATTTTAGGTTTGTCATTCCAAAAATTATGCCAAACATCATTAAAGATGTGGAATTGATTGAAGGAGATGGTGGCCTTGGCACTGTTTTTCTCTTCAATTTTGGTTCTGGTCAGTCTATCTATTTATTTTTCATTTATTTATTTATTTTTGCTTAATTCTATATGTACAATTATTTTCACCCAAAATTGTCTAAAGCCAACCCAAAAAGCTGAAAAATGATTACTTGATTTACCAACTCAACAGTGACATATATTTTTCACATGGGTTGATAACGTTGGAATTTAAATTTCAAATCTTAAAATAAATAGTTATGACCTTTCATTTAAAAGTCATGCCAATTGTTGAAAATGAACAGATGTGTGTATTTAGAAAATACTCTACATCTTTATGATTAAGATATACAATATCAACGTTTTATTATTATACTTTTGTATTCTAATTATATGGGCAACTTGAGAAAGATGGTCTATCACTAATCTTGCACATGTAAAACACTGTGAGATTTTGAATTGCATTTCGAAGTTGTATTTCGTCTGCAAGAACCTATATGAAGGAAGCGAATAAGGCTTTAGGACATCAACTTGTCTTTCCCCTTATCAATCTCACAGGCTATTTTCTTTGTTTATTTATTATTTTTTGTTCATTGATTATATTTAAGGTAAATTAAATTTACCTCCCCCGAGGTTTGAAAAAATACATAATACATAGACTTTCCTTTTAGTAAAGGTTAAATGGACTAAAACCAATGCAGATGTTGCAAAAATACAAAAAATAAATAACATAAAATATATATTTTTGTGTAAAAGAAATAATAACATTATTTTTTCATCCATATAACTAACAAATTATTAATGAAGGAGATGTGTGAATTAAAATTATTTAATAAAAGAAGAATACCTCCTGCCATGATATTCAAGCCTTTAAATCTTGTTCTTGATTGATCAAGTCTTGAATGTACAAACAAAACACTCACAAAACACTTTTACGGAACCATATAGAAAAGTGAAAGGAATAGAGGAATAGAGTTTCAAGCATATTCTATTCACAAAATAACGTTCGTGTTTTGATGGCTATCACATGCATATATAGATAGGGTTGGGCCCGTGATCCAAGCGTAACTCCTCATAACTTCCCACCATTAGTGAAGTTGTAACTTCCCATGAAACCACTTTGTGGGGTAGTGGACATAGTTTTCGTTAGTTGACCAATTCTTTATTGATTAAAATATATATAATAATATAAATAAATAAATCAAACAAACATGTAGCATATGTGCCACTTTATAGATATACTTACATTCTCCCACTTGGCACATATGATACATTTTGTTGACTTTCGGGTAACTAACAAACTGATTATGTCCACTAAATAAAAATACCCAAACTTTATAAAGTGACATAATACGCGAATCATGGTGGTTATACTTTGTCAAATGAGTATTTCTTTCAATGTATTACATTGTATGATTCTCTCAACTTTATGTGGTGTTGTTTTTTATAAGTAATTTCTAATAAATTATTTTAGGTCCAATGATCCCTATGGATCAATGGTCTCAATGGATTGCATAGCATCACAAATACTTTAAGTGCACAAAATGATGATTTTCACTAATAATAATCAAAATGTCATGACAAAACAAAACAACAACTAGAAAAATTATTGAGCTAACCAATCAGTCCCATACCCTTTACGTGTTTTAAAAACATCTTTACAAAAAGACATTTGGTCATGGGATCGGCAACCATCATATCGGTACTAATATGTTCAATGCTGGCTTCTTGCTTCTTAACACGGTCTTGAACAACAAGAAACTTTATATCAATATGCTTGCTTCGGCTGCCACTTTTGTTGTTGTTAGAAAAGAAAACTGTAGCCAAATTATCACAGTAAACTCTTACTGTCCTAGAAATTGAATCATAATTCGAAGCCCTGTGATAAAATTTCTTAACCAAATAGCCTGTAATGTTGCTTCAAAGTATGCTATAAACTCTGCTTCCATTGTTAACAATGCAATTATCATCTCTTTGGCGCTTTTCCATAAAATAGCACTGCTTGCTAGCAGATAGACATATCCTAAAGTGGATTTTCTGGAATCTTAACAACCTGCAAAATCCGAGTCTAAATATCCAACCACTTCAAGACAGTCAACATGCTTGTAAGTAAAAATGTAGTCCTTGGTTCCCTTTAAGTACCTTATGACTTTCTTTGCAGCATTCCAATGTTCCATTCCTGGATTGCTTTGGTATCTTCCAAGCATCCCAACTACAAATGCAATGTCAGGTCATGTACAAACTAGAGCATGCATTAAACTGCCTATGGCAGACGCATATGGAATGCTAACCATTTGTTCCTTTTCCGAATCATTCTTTGGACATTGACTTAAATTGAATTTGTCACCCTTTAAAATGGGTGTTGCATTGCAATCACTCATCCTGAATTTTTCCAAGACTCTTTCAATGAGGGCTTTATAAGACAATCCTAATGTCCTTTTAGATATGTCTCTATGAATCTCTATGCCAATGACATAAGAAGCTTCACCCATATCCTTCATTTCAAAGTTTTGGGAAAGAAATTGTTTAGTATCATGCAACAAATCCCAATCATTAGATACAAGTAAATGTCATCCACATATATAACTAGAAAAATGTATTTGCTCCCACTAACCTTAAGATATATACAGTTGTCCACAATGTTCTCCGTAAAACCTTATGAAGTAATAACATTGTGGAACTTTAAATACCACTGTCAGGAAGCTTGTTTTAGTCTATATATGGATTTCTTGAGCTTGCAACCTAAGTGACTATCTTTATTAGAACGAAAACCTTTAGGTTGCTTCATGTATTATTCTTCCTCAAGATCCCCATTTAAAAATGCCGTTTTCACATCCATTTGATGTAGCTCTAAATCAAAATGAGCTACTAATGCCATGATAATTCTAAATGAATCCTTCTTAGAAACTGGAGAGAAGGTATTACGATAATCGATGCCTTCTCTTTAAGTAAAACCATTGGCTACAAGTCTGGCCTTATATTCCAACTCTTCCTTCATGGCGTCATACCATAATTTAGAATCATCCCTATTCATGGCATTGGAAAACGAAATAGGATCATCCTTAGGTTCGATGTCAAAATCAGACTCCATTAAGTATACAAAATAATCACCATAAATTGATGACTTTCTAGCTTGTGAAGATCTCCTTAATTCTTTGGTCTCATTTGGGACTTGAGCTACATGCTTTATGTTGACTTGTTTTTTTTGTGGTGGAAGTTCTTGAATTTGTTAATCTTCAAGGATATTGGGTTGATTATCCTGAAAGATAACCAATTCACCTATATTCACGGGTGTTGTATCTAGATCACGTAATTCCTTACACTCTATCTTTCGAGGGTAACTCCCACTAGGGTCAACTTCCTCAATAAACTTAGCATTTTTGGCTTCAACAATTCTAAGTGAATTTGAAGGACAATAAAATCTATAGCCCCTGGTGTTTTCCATACAACCTATGAAAAAATCACTAACTGTTCTAGGGTCTAATTTCTTTAAATGTGGGTTATACACCCTCACTTCAACTAGACAACCCCAAATGTGTAAGTGTCTTAAACTTGGCTTCCATTCTTTCTACAACTCAAATGGTGTTTTGGGAACAACCTTGGATGGAACCATGTTTAAGATATACACAACGATTTTCAAAGCTTCACTCCACAAATTTATAGGCACATTAGAATAACTAAGCATGCTCCTTACCATGTCTATAAGTGTTCGGTTTCTTCTTTCAGTAACACCATTTTATTGTGGTGTGCCAGGCATTGAATATTATGCAATAATGCCTTCTTCCTTAAGGAACTTAGCAAATGGACCTGGTAATTGTCCTAACTCTATGTACCTCCCATAATATTGTCCACCCCTGTCTGACCTCACAATTTTAATTTTCTTTTCTGTTTGTTTCTCTACCTTTGCTTTATAAACTTTAAAAGCATCAAATGCCTCAGCTTTATCAAACAAGAGGTAGAGATACATGTATCGTGTATAGTCATCAATAAATGAGATAAAATATCTCTGACAATTCAGACAAGGTGGAGTAAATGGTCCACAAATATCAGTGTCTATGATTTCAAGAATTTCCTCACTCCTTTTGACACCTTTACTGTCTTGTTAGCTTGTTTTCTCTTTATGCAGTCCACACAAATACCAAAGTTAGTAAAATCAAGAGTCGAAAGGACTTCATCATTAACCAACCTCTTTATTCTCTCAATGGAGATATGTCTCAATCTCCTATGCCAAAGTATAGAGGAGGACTCATCAACAATATTACGTTTAATGCTAATATCACCATGCAAGGTTAAAAGATTTTGTTCAAAAACAAGATCCAAATTTAATTTGTACAAACCATTAATTAAGGTACCAATCCTACAGAAACAGTCTTTAAGCAAACTAAAATTTGCACCAACAAACTGAAATCAAATCCAAATGGTACTAGTCTAGAAACATAAATTAAATTTTTAGAAAAAGATGAAATATAAAAAGTGTTTTCAAGATCCATAACAAAGCCATTATTTACAACAAGTTTGAAAGTTCCCACAGCTTTGATGTGCGAACGCATCCCATTGCCCGAATAGATGCCTTGTTCACTTCCCGTCGGTTTCCTTAGGCTGAAGAAGCACTACATGGCATTAACAATGTGAATTGTAGAACCCGGATCAATCCACCAATCATATTGATGAGTATTAACAAAATTAGATTCATAACACACAAGAGATATGTGATTATCTTTCTTCTCGAGCCATTTCTTACACTTGGGGCAGTCTTTCTTCATGTGACCATTTTTCTTGCAAAAGAAGCATGCATCCTTATTGCCATAATTTTTGAATGGCACTTTACCAAGCTTCTTTCGTTTTTGATCACCTTTGCCCTTTTTCCATTGCCCTCCTTTATGTGTTGCTAAATGAGCACTTTCCACTTTTCCATACTTCAGTCTCTCATCCTCTTGAACACACATGGTCAAAAGTTCATTGATAGACCATTTTTCCTTCTGTGTGTTGTAACATATTCCATTGGAAAAGAATTGAGTATGAAATTGGCAAGGAATGAGTCAGAAATCTCAATCTCTAAAGACTTAAGATGAGTTACAAAGTCCCTCATTTTCATAATGTGCTCTCACACACTCTTAGAATTGTTATGCTTCATGCTTGATAGTTTGTTCATTAGGTTGCTTGCCAATGCCTTGTCAGAACTAACAAATTTCTTTTCAATAGCCCTCATGTAGTTCTTGACCTTATCAGATAGTGAGATTGAGCCCCTAATGCTCTGGCTGATATGTGACTTTATGAGCATTAGGCTTAAGCGATTAGATCACTCCCACTTGTCATAAGCATTCTTCTCTACAGTGAAACTCTCATCTGTGGGTTCAAGAGGTTCATCCACACGAAGTGCCAGATCAAGGTCCATGCACCCTAATGTCAGAAGGATTTTGTTTTTCCAGTCCAAAAAATTATCACCGTTCAAGAATGGAATATGGGAAGACTCATTAGGCAGTACAAAGGTAGAAATTACACAGGTAGAAATCACTGCAATTACCAAGAACATCATTAATGCCTTGAAACAATGACTATAGTCTGAATCAACAAATGTCAAATTCAGTAACAAATCTAAACCTTCCTATGGGTAGAGGCCTTTAAATTGTATTAGATTTGCTATTACTTTATAATAAGACTAATGGATTTTGAAATATTCAAGAAAAAGAAAACTCATACTTGTGGGTTTAGAGTGTCTAATCCCTTTAATACCCAATCTATTATCTTATTCTTATTTGTGAGACCATGAAATTATTTATAAAACATGATTGCAATATAAAAATGCCAAATTAATTTTTTTTAACTTTATGTGATCAAAATACTGAGGATCACTACATCTTCATGTCTTAAGATCCTGTGACTACTCTTAAAATAGAATAAAATCCTTTTAATTATGGCATAATTTATTAATGTGAGTAAATCCTTATGGTCACAACAAGTACACAATCTTTTAATGCACATAATATATAATACATGCAATCAGAGTAATATCACATGAAAAATCCCAAGACCAAACGCATTAATTCAACCTCATACTAGATTTTGCTTAAAAATTGGACCAAAATAAATTTATTAAGTCCAACACACAGTGTATACATACTCTTATTTCACATAAATTTTCATGGCATAAATAATCGTAATGCATGTGATATGATATTACACTATACTAGAGAGCATGCCAATGAATATGAAAATTTATAAGGTTTTAAAGGAATAGTTCATTGTATGAAATTCAAAAGAATTTGCTTACAATTTAAACATGCAACTGCAATATACAAAATTTTTTTAACAGCATGTTAAAATTTCTTCATGAAAATTCTAGAAATAAATTCAAGTCTTTTATATCTTTCAAAATTAACCAAATAAGCCCAAATAAAAGCATGATAATCACTAGAATTTATACAAAATAAGATGAAGCAGTTTGGTTTTTAATGTTTGTCAATAAATAGAAATTAATACTTAATGACATACAACAAGTCTCCAAAATGAAATAGATTTAGAATAGGAGTAATTTTAAATTAATGTAAATACTACAATTACATAACAAAATGAATTCTACTATTGCTTCTAAGTAATACATCATGCAATAGTTCATATTTAATATTGGTAGATGTCAAATCAATATTTTAATATATCAAGTTTCATATATATATATATATTTTATTAAGATGAACCAAACAATGAATGTTCATATTGATATGAAAATTCAAACTTTAAATAACACTAAACTATACTATACAACCACAAGTCATGTATAATGATGGCGCTATGTTGACTAAAACTTCACTATTAAGTACTAGACTATCAAATTTATATTCAAAAGTCACTATTAAGTACTAGACTATCAAATTTATATTCAAAAGTATGATGACCTGCAAGTTCCAAAATCTCTTTCACAGGAGAAAATAAACAAAGGGCTAAAAGCAGAGACATGGTGTGCTCAGATTGGTCAAAACATTACAAAGCGTAAAACATAATAATATTTTATAGCCAACGCACCAAAGCGTACAAACGAAGAAAAATTGTCATGTAAAAATCATAATGGAATAGAGGCCCATACAAGTGTATAAAACAGAACGCAATAAGATTTGGCCTCCATAAAATACAATAACGCTAAACAACAAAGACAGAAGGAGGTTCTGATACCAATTGTGAGAATTAAAATAATTTAATAAAAGAAGAATACTTCATGCCATGATGTTCAATCGTTTAAATCTTGTTCTTGATTGATCAAGTCTTGAATGTACAAACAAAACACTTACAAAATACTTTAACAGAACCATATAGAAAAGTGGAAGGAATGGAGTTTCAAACTTATTCTATTCACAAAACAATGTCTGGGCTTTGATGGTTATCACAGGCATATATAGATAGGGTTGGACTCATGATCCAAGTGTAACTCATAACTTCCTACCATCAGTGAAGTTGTAACTTTCCATGAAACCACTTTAAGGGGTAGTGGACATAGTTCACGTTAGATACCCAATTGTTTACTAATATATATATATATATATATATATAATATTTATATTATAACATAAATAAATAAATAAAACAAACATGTAACATATATGCCACTTTATGGACTTACAAGAGGAACTAAGTGTTATATAAATTAAAATCACACGAGAACTTAATGTAATTATGTCAAAATTGTAATTGTGGGGCATACTGTATTTTCTCCAAATTTGAAAAGGAGATCGGTGTAATTTACTCTTATATTTAGGGAGAGGTTACAATGTGCATTTGCACATTGTAGGAAAAGATATACATTTTGTGAGAAGAAAATTATGATTTTTGTGATGAAAGTTATGAATTTTAAAGTTATACATTTTGTGAGAAGCAAAAGGTTATATTTTTTGTGACAAAAATTATACATTTGTGAGAGAAATTATGTTTTTTGCATGAGGTGCATATGATGTGCAGTTGCACATCATAGCATTCTCCTTATATTTATGTACAAGTGAATTTTATATGACTTTAGTAACTAAATCCCCAAGAGATAACACATGTTGTTAATAGCAAATGAAACTTTCACAAACAAAATTTATGAATTAATAATTTGTTTTGGTTGGAAACAAATATCAGATGTGTTCACTGTGAGCTATCAGAAGGAAAAGATAGTGGATCTTGATGAGTCCCTGCATCAAATTGGGATGCAAGTGATAGAAGGGGGACACCTTAATCACGGCTTCTCTTCATACAAAATGATTTTTCAACTCACTGCCAATGCAGAGTCGGAGACTTTGGTTGATGTCAAGGTGGAGTATGACACTGAAGCAGAAGAAACCGAAATGCCAGCCAAGACAATAAATTCAGCACTTGCTTTCATCAAATGCCTTGAAAGCTATCTGTTAACCTAAAGTACTTGAGAATTTTGTTAGTTTTCTTTTCGGGAATTTCCCTGTATAAAAATGGAGACGGTCCATTGTTAAATGAGGGATTCGAAAAAATAAAATATGAAAAGTTTTAAAATTTTATGTCATTAAGCAAAGAAATCTATAGTGATGCTATCTTTACAAGTGACAACTTTGTATCGATGTTCGATTTATTTATTTATTTATTTATTTTTTTTTGTCAAACAAACCTAACAAAATCAGTGACAATTGTCTAGTAAACCTAACAAAATCAGTGACAACTGAAGTTATGTATCCAGTCCTTACTTTTAGGACTCTGCCATGCATATGTAGCTAGACCTATCCTGCTTTTTCTTATGAATAAAATATTTCACAAATTCAAATGTAATAAAATGAAAAAATAAATGCAATGGAAGGTAACATAGACCACCAAACTAGCTGTTTAAGATGGACAGAAAATAAAAAGGCAGCTACAATTATTCCGAGTTTTGAAGTCTAATAGAAAATAGTTAGGAGGCTCAATACATCAGGATGACACCACATGAATCCCCTTAACATTTGTGCCTGATCGTTTGGTGGTTCATATACAAGTTTAAAGCTAAAAAAAGGATATGCATTGACTCAACCACACGTACCTTGGAGAGCAAGGCAATATCGCCTATATAAGGTGCATTGCTATTGCTAAGAAGAGGATCCGAATTCAATGACTCTCTCTACATTTCATCTTTATTCTTTACTAAACACCTAACTTCAGCATTAGAGAGGTTTCTGGCCAAAGTCCCAACCATGTAGCTCTGACGTGCTCTTTGTCTTGCAGATCTAGGGTTGCAGGAGGCTTGTTTCTGTGGCAAAGAAGCACATCGACTTTAACACCCTAGATATAATTTCCATTGTACAATTAAAAGAACATTCTCATACATCCCAGCAACACAATTCCATTAAAGTGTTTCTTTTTCTCATTGAACTATGGTTTCCCTTTACAAAGATTACAAGATACAAATCTTAGTTCAGTAAGTTAGAGAAAGTTACAAAACATTTACATTATGCCCCCCTAATACAAAAATACAAAACTCAAAATAAAATTAAGAAAGGAGTTCCTTGTTACATTACACTTTCAACATCATAAAAATTTAGATTTTTAAAAGAGATGGTCATTTTCCTTCTTCTTCATTGACAGGTTTGGGGCTCTTCATGTCTTGAAATGCTAGTAAATAAGAATGAGCAATTGCTCAGTAAACAATAACTTTAACCAAGTATATAACTATTTGATTTAAAAATACGCATGACCTCTATCAATGCCCATGAGTTTATATTTGCTTTAAAAAGTTATAACACAAAATACAATTCAACATTCAATTCTCCATATTTTTCCATCCTCACATGGATGGCTAGTGGACACCTCAAACCTTCCACTTTCGTCGTCATCACACAAACTAGCTAGTGGACACCTCATAACATTCCCACATTTGTTTCCCTCACACGAACTAAGCAAGTGGATACCTCAAACACATTCCTACATTCGTCGTCCTCACGTGAACCAGGCAAGTGGGCACCTCAAACACATTCCAAAACATTAACATCTTAAGCACAACACAAGAAATCACAAGGACCGTCCAATTTTACTTATCAATTATCCATTAAGTCAAAACCAAGAACAACCCTTAGGGTTACTCACTCTTCCATAATTGATTACCCAACCCATTATCAATTTCACACAAAACACATCATCTACACAAAACCCATATATATATACATCACCCATCTCAATGGTCACATACACCTTAAGATTCACACACATTTAAACCATAGTATGAATATACAAGGGTAAATATATTCCTATCTCAAGGGTTGCAAGATGAGAGATGGAGATCCACGCGATGAACTTCCGAAATAACATGATCTAATTGGTTCAAAACGTAGTTCTTAGTGAGGGTAACAACTTTAATGAAGGCCCAAAGGTCGATTCTTGCTATTATTAGATGAAATCTAAGGTTTTCAAGGTAGGGTTTTGAAAAAGAAGGCAGTTAGAGAGGTAAGAAGTGTATAAGAAATGAGTTAGAAATGTGTTTAGATCACTTTATAACTTTGCTGCCCTGAACAGACTGCTTAAGTAAACTTTCCATCGCTCGAGCGATGTGCCGAAATACAAAGAGATTGCTTAAGCGAACTTTTCACCCCTCGAGTTGTAAATGGATGGTCTCAGAAGTTTTGCAGAGCTACAATAAAAATACTGAGAGCTCTAATTTTACACTCAAGCGACCTTTACTTCGCTCGAGTGGTCTCGTCTACAAACCTGCAAGATATTGGGAGCTGTAAATCTAGGCTCGAGCAGTCACCCAAAATTAGCTGTTACATCAACTAAGTGCAAAATCATCCTCATACAATTGGCGCTGCCAGTAGGAAACCACTCTTACTCTACTTTTTGATCGACTCTGGTGATGGGAACTGAACACTACTGCTGTCTAGGCTAGACGAAAGGACTTTAATAACAAAGAAAATGAATGACAAAGGATCAGCATTCTCAAAAGTGTTGGAAGATTAGATATGCATCAACGTATGCGATCTAGATATGATGGAGCACCGCTACACCATTGTTGTTGAGTCGTTCCACCACCTCACTCTGGAGAATGAATCTTTTGATGGAGATTCGTACTTGAGAGTGTCAACGGACTTTGGAAGAGCAAATCTGCATTGATAGATGATGTCCAGACACGGCGAAGCACTCCCACATCATTGCTGTTGAGTCATCCCACCACTTCAATTTGAAGGACTCCGATGAAAGACAAAAGATTAACGCTCCCAAGAGTGCTGGAAGACTATATTTGCATCGACAAATGTAGGAAGATGAGATCTGTGCCAATGGATGAAGTCCGGATATGGCAGAGCATTGTCGCACAATTGTTTTGAGTCGTTCCACTGCCTCACTCTTTAGAAGGACTCATTTGATAAAGATTCGTACCCGAGAGTGTCACTGGATTTTAGAAGACTAGATTTGCATCAACGGATGAAGTCCAAACACGGTGAAGCACCACTGCATTGTTGTTGTTGAGTTATCCAAACACTTCATTCTGAAGGACTCCAATGATAAAGACTAAGGATAAAGAACCAGAGCTCTTAAAAGTGTCAGAGGATGAAATCGGTATAGATGAATGAAGCCCAAATACGACGAGGCACTGTCGCATCATTGTTGTTAAGTTGTTCCAGCACCTCATTGTAGATAAAGACTCCAATGCCGGAGAAGATGAAAGATAAAGAATCAATGCTCCCTAGAGTGCCAAAGAACTAGATCGATACTAAGGAATGAAGTTCAGATATGGCAGAGCACCATCGTATCATTGTTGTTGAGTGCTCCCGCGGCCTTATCTTCGAGGACTACAAAGATTGAATCATTGACTCTATAGAGATGAATATCCTTGAGCTCAAAGCTCAAATAAGAAGATTATCAACAAATCGACAAAGTAGAGGAGATCCAAGGTAAAACCATCTCGATTACAATGAAGGAGTCCATCTCTAGAACCACTACGCAAGGAGAAACATGACCTAAGAATATAGAAAAACTAGAATAGCGAAAAACTCTCGTTGAATAGAAAGAACCTTCTAAAGAGAGCCGAGATCACAAGAAATTTTTGAGGTACGAATTGACATAATCCCAGCCCACAATTAGAGGAAAACTACGCCAATAATTGGTCACTAATGTAATTCATTGATAACTGACCTCCAAAAGAAAAATGCACTCTGAAGAGAGATCTAGAGGGCTATCTTTGTGACATTCTGTCTCAAGTGACCGCTCAAGTGGTGAAACTACCACTCGAGCGGAGATTAGGTGCTCCCAGTAGTTTGTTTTGTAGGCTTAGGGACTGCTCGAGCGAACAAGTGGTCGCTCGAGTGAAGATCAGGGGCTCCCAATATCTTGTTTGGCAAACAGAGATACTAAAAGGTATCGTTCACCGCTCGAGTGGTGAAAAAATCACTCGAGTAGTTTGTGTGATTTTAACATTTTAAAAACCACTTTCTAGATTATTTCTTCCACTCTTCTTTCTCTCTTCCTTCTTCTCTCTCTAAGTCCGAAAACCCTACATTTCTCTCTCTACATATCTCTTATTTCACTAAGTTACAAGCCAAAATCACTTGCAAGAGGTGGAGTCTACATAAGGATCTTCCTTTCTACTGATTGGATTTTGATTTTACGAAGGATTTTTCTAAATAGTCTAGTTTTCTTACTCTTCCTTGAGGTAAGGTTACACTTAAATTAGTATCTCTTTATTTTGAGGATGAGGATGTGGTGACTATAATACTTTATCTGATGATTGAGCCAAAGTTAAGTTTTATGTTTAAGACAAAGGGGATTTTAACCAACATTTATTAAAATTTCAAATAAATTCTTATGGATTGGGAGTATTGGTGTTGAGAACTATCACATATATGAAGAGGGGGTAAAAGCCCCAAATTTGTTAAAACCCTAGTTTTGATTTGCAGAAATATGATGATTGGATGGAACTGAATTTCAAATCTTGAATTGTGTGGATTATTAGAGTTTGGAATACATTATTAATGTGCTTTGAGTTGAGATAGTGGACTTGGAAATTGATAACCCATGTATTCTATTTTCATTGTTCATCTTATGTTTTGTTGAATACTTGATTACTTGGAATGCGGTAAAATAGAGAGTGAGTCTGGGTAGAGAGTCAATTTTGAGAACAATGTGTTGTGTTGGTACCCGCGCTAGGAATTAAGGTGCCCAATTGCCTTGTCTTGATCTTATCGCAGGATGAATGTGGGAAAATATTTTTGGGTGTTTATGTGAATATATGTGATTTTGAAGTTTTATCTGTTCACCGTAGGAATATCTGTTTGATTTTACCGCTTCGGAAATTAAATTGGAGGCCTTATCGGCCACAGAACCCTAAATTGATTACGCCATTGTGATTGGCATAATTTTTAGAGCCTACGGTGAAATTTAATTGAAAATTGATCCTGGTCAATTTAAACGGATTAAATTGATAAATTAAGTGCCCAATTGTTATATAATAAAATAATGTGTTGAGTGGGGCTAAATAAGGGCCTCATTATGATCAATTCCTCACCCTTATATCATTTTGGCTGAAGTTTAAGTCTCTAGAAAAGAGAGAGAGACGACTTTGAGAGAGAGGGGAGGCACCTTT